GTCAATATTTACTTACCTAAACAGAGAAACAGAATGACCACGGGTGGGCAAAAAAGCAGTGGGAGTGGGAGCAACTTCCAACTTCCTGTTGGCTTCCCCATTGGCTTTCCTTGTGGGAAGCTGGCAGGAAGTGTCAGAAATCATGATCACATGACCACAGGGATGCTGCAACAGCCACAACTTTGCGAATAAAACTGGTCTGAACATTGTGGAAATTTTAATTCCATTGGAGTAATGACTCCCAGATTTTTTACGTTCTTTATGTTAGCAGATTTTAGGTACCTCGATTCAAAAATTGTTGTGGAATAATGCACCATTTGGGCTCAGTTGAAGGTACAGACAAACAGATAAACAGAATGAGAGTTTTGGTAGTATATAGATAAATCCTGTTTACAGGAAACAGATGGTGTGTGTGAGGGGGTGCTTTTCTCAATTGGAGACCCTTTAAAAAAACTTCATCAGTCCAAAACTGACCTGCCAGGTAATCTTTACCTCACCCATGCAGATGATCTACCTAACCCATGTTTAATACAGCCCTGTACAGTGGTGTCTGCTTCTCTTCAGTGACCAAAATTACCTGCTTCTGATGTAATGATTAAAAGATATTTGGTTCTGAATTAGATTTTGGTTTCTGTGAAGTCAAGGGACAAATAAAACAGATGGAAGTAATCAGTTATAAAATAAAAGATGGGATGGATTTTAAGATAACCATCAAGAGAAACATCTTTAAAAATATACCATAGAAGTCCGCATGGCCTATCACTGCCCATTTTAACATTACACTCACTTTTTCATAAGCTTTGGTCCGTCACATCTGGAATTTGTTGAGCATCTCTTTCATGAGCTAAGAAAATATTTTAAAAAGCTTCTTTCTCTAGATACAGAATGGTTTCCAGCCCATTTTAGAACCTTTTGCAGAATCTTTCACAACTTGCATGGGTTTTATAGCAGTTGTCTAGGCAACCTTCCAGTTGTGGCTTGTTCAGCAAATCATAGTTAAGAAAACAGTGGCTGAACTCAATCAGTATAAATGTTTTAAAAAAGCCCAACACGTGGTAAGTTCTTTCAGTACATTAACAATTTTTTTTTATTGTTAGTGCCTTAAATGGTTGTTGCGTGGTTTTGTATGTTTTTTAATATTTTTATTGTTCTTAAATTGTAGTTTTTGTATTATTTTGGTGTTCTTATATTGTTTTTAATTGTATGTGAACTGCCCAGAGTCCTGTATTTGAGATGGGAGGATAGATAAATTGATATAATAAACAAAGAAAGAAAGAAAGAAAGAAAGAAAGAAAGAAAGAAAGAAAGAAAGAAAGAAAGAAAGAAAGAAAGAACGAACATTTTTCTGGGACTGCAGGATGAAGTGCTGCTTACAAAATAAATAAATCCTTCCAAATGCAAGTGGATCATGTTTGAATTCACCCCTAAGAATAAACACATTCTACATTGGGCTGCAGATTTTGTTCTTGATGTGTTATCTTTCTATAGGCAGTTACTAATTTGTTGGGGAAGGGCCCCAAAACCAGACATATCACTCTTTCCTTTGCAGAATAGCTTTTCTAAAGCCTTAGGTACTAACAGATGGTAGCTCTTGGGTGACCATGTCTGCATTTGGAAGCTAAGCAGGATTAAGCCTGGTTAAGACTTGAATGGGAGGCTAGTAGGAACCCCAGAGTACAGAGCAGACTGGGAAATAAAAAAAACAGGCTGGAAGAAAGGAATCTCAACCAGTTTCTGTGTTGTCACAAAGGAAACTATGTAGATCTGTCAGTAAAGTCATCAGAAATTGAACTTGGCTTGAAGACACCTTATTTTAGTGGCCTTATAGACAGAAATCCCAGATTGCTCAGGCATGTCTGCATAGTTGCCTGCAAGGATAAATGATTAAAGGAAGATAAATCCCCATACGGAGATATGTAGAAACATGACTGAAAGCTGGATCATGTCAGCGTATGCCAAAGGGGTGACTTCTTGCAACGATAGTATTTCTTTAGACGCCCACTTATATATCCTGGCCAGTTCCTTTAAAGAACTTCCTTTAGGAATTTGGGGAGGAGGGGTAAGAAAGAAGGGCAAGCAGCCTTCTTTAGGGAGGGCCACAGCACTGGACCAGATGAGGCAATAATGAGAATTTGGCAACCTCATTAGTTTATATTGCACGTGTACATAGCAATGTAGATCTCTTCGTACTAGTATAATTAAATGGAAAGTGCAGTGCTGATCGTGTTTCTCTTTTGCAGGAGGGAAGACAAATGAGCTCACTCTTCAGAACAATGCAAACAAAGCAATTATTCAAGGTCTCATCCCTGACCAGAGCTACATCGTTCAGATAGTGGCATTTGCTCAAGATCAGGAGAGCAAAGCAGCGCAAGGCCAATTCCGAAGTATGTTCTCGCCTGCTATCTGTCTGCTTCACAGGACTGGGCTCCATGGGTAGGGGGAACCATACCTCCCAGTTTGCCCGGGACAAGTTCCGGTTTACCCCTGTTGTCCCAGCATCCCGTCTATTTTAACATTTCTCCTGGATTTTTCATTTTTTCACAATGTTCTTAATAAGAGTTTACTTGTGAAGCAACGCTGGCACTGGTAGTCCTGGATTTCTTCGTCCTTTTTTAATCTCTGTGCATGTGTGCAAAATGATCCCCAGGCATCCATTTCATGCTATATCTCCCTTGCAAGGCCTTAGGGCAACCTCCGTCTTCTTCCCTGCCACGGCCAGCTGGCCTGTCATGACCTTCGGCTTCTCCTGAGCCATCGATTCCAGCTAGTTCTCCATCTTTCAACACAAGAGACTCCGTTTGGACAACAAATTATATGGTCCCTATAGAATTTGGTCCCTATATAAGCTGGTCATTTCTAGCGGGGTTCGTAGGAGGGTCACCTGGCCTGGCTTGCTGTTATACAAAGGGTTTTAGAAGCTAAGATTCAAAATGAAAATAACAGAATGTATGGAGAGATGATTCATAAGATTGTCAGTTGACTGGCATTGAGCTGTTACTTTGTCCATTACTGTGAAATGGATATATGGAGGGTTATTTATTACATCAATGTTTCTCACCCTTGGAAACTTTAAGACGTGTGAACTTCAACTCCCAGAATTCCCCAGCCAGCCATGCTGGCTGGAGAATTCTGGGAGTTGAAGT